GACTCGTAAATAGACATAGTCGGAGGGTTTTCTAAAGACGAAGGCTCCCCGATCCCCGAGCACCACACGCACGGTACTCGGGCAGACATGGTGCTCTGCAGTCAAAAATAAAACCCTAGCCCACCATCGCCATTCTACCGCATAACGCCACGCAAGTCTCATGCCACGGAAAACACCATAACTATCCACCATCCCATAACCGGCAAATCCTAAAAGCACTAACCAGAACAGGTGCTAATAAGAATAATAAGAAGCAAAAAAAATTGCACGCAACTAAGACAAGGTCAAGTTTCTTTCAAGCCCTACTACCCCCACCTTCCTATCATAACCCGGGGACAAAAATGATCGCGGCAGGGATCGAACCTGCAATCTCTTGATTCGTAGTCAAGCGCCTTGCCATTGGGCCACGCGACCAATAGTCTTCTTCGCTCATAATTCGACAGGTAAAAGCGGTTGGTTGGGTGTGGGTGGAATTATCAACTGGGAAAGGAAAAGTGATGTCACCCAAAAAAAAAAAAAAAAACAAGCTCTCCAATATGGTGCAGGAACTCTGTAGCTAGAGAATATCCGTGACATGTTAATTAATGTTAATATCCTTGGCAAACACTGTTAATAGATGTTTTCCAAGGTATTAACCTGTATAAATTCCGCTCTTGGCAAATTAATATACTATTACTAAGCTAAAACGAATGTCCACCCGTTCCGGCTACAGATTTCCCACACCGCAAGTATGATAGCAGAACCGGTGGGTGTTAGGGGGATGTTAAAAAACTACCTTATGTGGTAACATAAATCCTCTGGAGCACCCTGTGGAATTACCCACGATACCACAAGTTTGGCAGGGCAGCGTCCGACCAGATATCAATCAGGTACCTGTACCCTCGTGTATGAATACTAGTGCCACAATAAAGGACAGACAGTCAGACCTCCTTCCCAGTTCCGACGGCATGACTCGAGCATCTACTCGAGTAAATAGAAAATCTACTGTACCGTACCTAAGTACGCCTTACT